CCCTTGTTAACCTTGTTCGTATATTCTATGTCAAAGTAAATTTAATTAATTACGCTTTATTTCCTTCACGCATGAGGTTGTTACTTATAACTCCGCACTAAAAATTTGGAAATATCGCATACACCATTTTTGGTGTTAGTACGAGCTGAAACCCTATAATATGATAAGACTTTCATTATGTTTATTTTTATCACAATAAAACATCCTATTTAGTGTGTTCTGTGGATATTTGTTTCTTAACATTTTAAGTAATATGATTAATGTTCCATAATTTTACCGATACTTATTCTTTTAATTATTTAACAATGAGCAGCTTAGATATGATGAAGATTGTCATAATTGTAAAAAAGATATGTTGCCGCAGCAATTCTGAATTTATTATTTTTGCCTTCCGTTCTTATGATTTAAAGACTGGTAGAATATATACATATATATATAATTATATATATACTGACATGCAAGTAGTTTCCTGTATAAAAAGCAGTGCCCGCTTTTTTCCTTTAAACGTTTGATCATTTTTTCAAACGTATATCAATTCACGCTAACATGTGAAAGAGGCAAAATCTAGGTGTCAACAAAACATTTTCATTTTGAATCATCTTCACCTGTGTGTTGTAAAAACGTGACCTTGTTAACGCGGTGAGATCACATATATACGCGCATGCGCAAACATACTTACTTTTGAGCCCTGTTAAAAAGGTTTTTTCAATGATACAACCTGTGTGAAAATGTCAATACGATGAAACTTGTTTAAATATGAGAATTTTGTTCTATTTACCAAATTAAAAAATGCGTAAAATGTCATGCATACAAGCAATTCATTTCATGTGAATGCGTTGGGAAAACGGTACCTGGTAATGGTACCAATGTTAAGTCTATATTGTATTTTTAGAATGATATATCTATTTACTACTGGAACAATGGTTTGTTCAAAGATTATTAATGGAAAATAGGACTGATATCAAAACATTGTATAATTATTATGGGCAGAAACTACTTCTCTTCATAGAAAATAATGTGTAATTTCGGTACCCAATATAAGGCCTCAAAGTAATTTTATAGTAGAACATATTGAGATTTCCATGACTTGTGTGACGAGCCGAATATTGGTGTATTACAATCATTTTTTAGGTGAGTAAGCATTATATTAAAATATAGTTTTTAAAACTGTATGCCCCCAGGTCAGCAAAATACAAACCTAAGAATTGAGGAAAGGTACCAAGATTTAAGATTTATATAATTCTTTATACGTCATGTGTCATTAATGATTTTTCAGTATTTATAACCATATTTCTGCTACTGCAGTCAAGGCCATTTCTTTGAATATTTTTACCTCATTTTGTACTTTACTTGGGCTGTGAGTGCTGTTTGTAATGTGTAATTTGCTTCTTTTATGGATACTTCACAATATGTTACTTTTCAAAACATTTTCAAATTTTCATAAAAAATAAGCAAGAATCTTGATGTGTGCTTTTTAAAGTACATGACTACGAATTTTGTAAGGGAGCTACTCTCATGGTAGTATACAATGCATATTGTTAATTTTCAACATATCGTTTTCAAAACCATCAGTTTAGACCTACTTTCTATATTTTGTACCGAAGGCCGTTAATGAGTACAATATTTGTTTTCAGTTATCGTTTATAGAAGTATCACGAGCAAAACAATGTGATTCATAGTTAATTAATTACATATTCTTAACATAAAATTTTGTTACAGTTATTTTGATAAATCATTATGGACCATTTGATTTGAGTGCTCTTTAGCAATTAACTATTGGTTAACATTAGACGCTCGAACTTTAAGAATATCTAGTTCAAGTTATTAGTTTCTGCTCCTCGATTAAGTCGGTCAATTAAATGTCAGAATGTCTTACGTTCATAGGAGTGTTATTAATAGTGTAATAATTTTAAAACAAGTGATATTATGAAATGTTAAATACTTTATATAAATGGAGAAAGGAGATACATGTATTAGATATATATATCAATTCTGGTTCGAAAAAAGATTAAATTCATTTATGTTATAAGGTCAAAAAAGAGGTAAACAATCACAAAGAATCGATAAATAACTACTGGTAGATTTTTAGTTATGTTACAAAATTACGTTAAATATTGTGGACATAATAATTATTATGTTCCGAGTGGCATACATTAAAAACTATATTTATCATACTAACATTTAAGTTCATTACAAGTATGTTATAAATGTTCAAAAATATTGGAAAATGGATTCATTTAGTCAATTTATTTCTAAATATTATTAAATATGAATAATATTAAAGGACTTTGAAAACACACGCCTACAAGATATGATCAATTCAAATAAATTGATAAAATTATGAGTGGTTTTAATCCTATTAATTATGTAAGTGTATGTATACTTTGTATGTATGCTATGGTATTTTATTCAACATATCTCAAAAGTGGTTACCAGACATTATGAAAAACTTTGTTATGTGTGACACTCTTATTGATTTAGATGGATATTGTTAAAGTGGTGGTCATTTCCCACTCCTGACTAAACCGATTCATAAAACTGTATTTTAGTTGTATACAAATGTGTCACATATATACAATCACTCAAAATATGTTATAAAACAGATCGACATTATTTTTTGAAAAAAAAAGAAAAGAAAATACATTTCAGTAGACTAAAGATAAGATCTTAAAACCATGTTTTTTTTTCTCGCGAAAACACATGTTTTTGTAATTTATCTAAAGGAAAATATCATTTATTCCAATGAAGATTAAATTAAAATATTACAAAATCGATATAATTATCATAAAACTGATCACCCTTCAACATTTTAAAGATAATCGTTTTGCTAAGATTACTGCATCAAGTTTCCTGATAACATTTTCTGTCAAGACGCCTTTTTACGAGAATAAATAAGGTTCATGAATATGGATAACATTAACTGATAATTTCTAATTCTTGACAGAGAATGAAGAACGAAGATTTATTCCTTGACGTCGTAAAGATAACATTTTTCTGATGAATCGAATTCATTATTTTTGAACGAGTATTTTTTGTTTCACTTTTTAACGAAATCAAACCATACATTTATATAAAATAAAGAAAATGAATCCTCAGAAAAGAAACAAAAACGCTTAATTGAAAATGTTCCCGGCTCGGTTTGATTTGGCCTGATCATGGCCGGTACTTGAAAGTGCAAACTACGCTACCACCCATACCCTCATGGCAACGACCTAAGCAGATTTTATCAATGAAATATGAAATGGATAAAGTTTGAATTTAGAAAACATCTTTGGATGAGATCATACGGCGGTTATCACAGAACCTTTAATGTAACACTGTCGTACCATTCCAGGAGAAGCGGTGCATGTTCTTTGAGTAAACGAATCCGTGTGCCCTAAACAAAACAAAAGAAAACAATGGACGGAAATAGCTTAAATAGAAGTTCGAAAGTGGATTAGTGGAAATACATATTTTAATTCGTTTTAGAAAATTAAACACAAAAACGAAAACCGATATCGTATGGCGCAGTTTAATAAACAATCCTTTTTATTGCTATAAGCTGTCAAGGTGACGCACCTGTTCAGATTCAAGTCAACTATGTTGATGAGTAAACGAATCCGTGTGCCCTAAACAAAACAAAAGAAAACAATGGACGGAAATAGCTTAAATAGAAGTTCGAAAGTGGATTAGTGGAAATACATATTTTAATTCGTTTTAGAAAATTAAACACAAAAACGAAAACCGATATCGTATGGCGCAGTTTAATAAACAATCCTTTTTATTGCTATAAGCTGTCAAGGTGACGCACCTGTTCAGATTCAAGTCAACTATGTTGATGTCAAGGTTACACATTTAAATTGAATAATGTTGAAATATCTGCTAACATTTAAAATTGGAATTATTTCATGCAATAGAATATCCACAATTATCAAGAAACAAATTATATTTTGCTGCCGCTTGTATTTCTAAAATTATGTTACTACTTTTTATTTATGTTAATTTTAACTTTTTGCCATTATCAAAAGACATTTTCGTGATATTTATCAAATTATTTTTCGTATTTATAATCGTCATTCCTAATATAAAATAGAAACTTTAGAAACAAAGAAAAATAACAACCATAACTACCTGGTATAATATTTTCGAATAGAAATGTTTTTTCAATTAAGGTGACTAAATTTATCTGCTCTGAGATTTTTTTTCAAATGACATTCGACATTGTGTTATCTCTGACATTGTTTAAGGCATATTATGCCTGAGAAATGAATAGATATTAACTTCTTCAAAAAGGGTAAACAATAAATGTAAATGGTTAATGTAAAATGATATCATTACACCAAATCGGTATTTTGACTTTTATACAAAATACAAAATCACTAAAAATGTACTGCGAAAAAGCATCAGAAGAAAACAGTTTAGGAAATTGGCCAATGAGTTGCAAATGATTTTAACCATATCGCCAAATTGCGCACTGTGAACAAAAGCGATCATAAGACGGATTCTATTTAAGGACTATACAACGTTATTTACCAGTCATTAAAAATTTAGTCATTAAGTTTTTATTCCATAATGTTCTACAAATGGCAAAATTTAGGCGACAGAATATAAATAAAAAAGTATACAAGAAAAAAAAAATGTATACATTTATGCACTAGTAATAATTGTGTTATGAAACAAATGTTTATTATGGCATTGAAATTCGGTCATAATTATTTAACGGATTAGTACTGTGCTTATTTATCAACTTAATATATTTTTGCAAAACCAGTTTAAATAATGCAGATCATCAAGGTCGCTTTGGCAATGCTTTGTCAATTCTTTTCAATCTGACATTTGTCATGTTAAACCTTAATTTTGTCCGAGATGTTTTTATTTTCATAACAACTCAGCACGTATGAACTGCTCATTGCAATTGTAGATCATCCTTTAATGACTACAAATTCCCACGCTTGCTATTATCGGATGAATCAGAATTAACGTTTATGAGTATTGGAGATTTATTCAGATGGCGGCAATCGGAAATAAAAACGACAGCGCGTCTCTCGCAATATCAATTGGCTATGACTCTTTGTACAAGTAACAACTTTTACTCGTCTAACGTCAAATAACGCTCAATATAACTAACTGCTGTACTATATATTCAATACTTTCTAAACATCTAATAACAACTAAAACATTGTTTTGGTTTTGTTTTGGTTTATTCTTATTATTTTTAAGATACGTAAAGACTTTCTTTGAGTGACGAGAAAAAAGTGAAAAAACTTTTGTGACGTTGAATTTTACAAACATCTTTTTGCGTGTTTTGTATATAGTTATAGATTAATTAGATCTAGTTTATTTTAAAAAAAAGGTGCCAACACATTCAACGAACAATTTAACGAAATGAAAACTTTATTTGCATTAATATTTGTTGAAATAATGCTCGCCGGGACGAATATTCAACTAGGATGCTTTGGAATGCCGTTAGAATTAGAAGAGGAAGGTAAGATATATGAAGTTCATGAATTCATTTTGTATATAAATATATCATTTGACTTAAATTGATACGGTTTATATCTCACTGAGATATTAAAACAGAATGTTATTACAAAGTCAAAGTTAAGTGCAATTGAGCATGAAACAACTTTAATTCTGCTTTTAAAGGGTATAAGTCTATATCTTATGAAATATTTTAATAAACTTTATCAACAGTAAAATTATATTGGTTCCATTATTTTAAGGTTGATTCAGGAAAATGTTGTAACATAGAATGTCTCTATTATCTAATACACATGAATAATGTACGTAAACAGAATAAAAAGTTCTGGAACAAAATATTATTTTGCTATTTTAAGTAGGGTTTTATCCGTTAAGCAAAAAGTTTGTGCATGTGCCATTCGCTTTTAAGGCAATAAGTTACTCCATTTTTTCATACAAGCATTTCGGAATTATACTTCTTTATAATTCAAACAATACTTTTTGCATCAGATATATAGATTTATACACTTAAATGATATATGTAAAAATAACAAATATCTTTCCATCATTCTTTAAAACTTGAACAAAACAATAGTGTTATATACAGTAAGTGTAAGTAACGTGTGAATAATTATTAATTTTATTATATTTACAATATAAGAAACAATCTGTCTTTTTTTCTCTCCAAAACTTTAGTCTTGTCAAATTTATGAACGGCAATTACATTGAACGTTCTTTTTCTTTAGAAATGTCAACGAAGATGTCAAAGTAAGATGTTAAAGAAAAAGTAAAAGACCAGGTTTTTTATTTTCATAAATTACTTGATTCAAAATCATTTTATCTTGTATTATGTTATTCTATGACATGAAAATTACAATGGTATGTTCACTTACTCGTTAAGAGTTTTTGTAAATTTCAATTATAGTTAATTAATATACAACTTTTATCGTATGTATGTTTTAAACAATATAAGTGATATTCATAATTTAATATTCACGACGAAATTGAACTGCCTCGATCGGTCTTTATTTTACTGAAATCATTTCAAATTATTTTTTATATCTTTTTAGCAAAGTGAAAACAGAACAAAAGTAAAACTTTAAAGCTGCGATTTTGTTACTTGAATACATTTTATCATGGAAATTGACAGCTGATTGATAGTAAAATTCAACAGACAATATATTCTGTAAAAACAAGCTTTTAATAGAAACTTTAAGACTTTAAATAAAATTATCAGTAGACAAAAGCATCTTGGAATTTATTTGTATATAAAATTGGCCTCTTATACAAGTACAAAGCTTTAAGAAAACCACTTGTTTCCTTTTTTATTCATTTTCCTATTAACAATGCACTACGTCTGCAGAAAATTATGTATTTATTTATTTATGAGGCGCTCGGACAAGAATATAAACAAATTCCCAATGGAAAATCAGCCAGTCTAGTGTTAATACGCAAACAAAATGAGAAATAAGTTAATGTCCAGGTAAACTCATATATCGTATTTGTACGGTTATAAGAATATCAATAAAACGTAATATCTTGCAAATTGGAGTTATTCAAAAATATGGAATCGATTTTAACAGTTTGCAAATTACTATATATCATCAAAAGATCGAATTGTTTCATAATATGTTTGTTGTATACGTCTCCGTCTCAGAAATACGGTCAAATAGTTTGAAAAAAGCTCTTCTTATAATTGTCGAATGCGTATGAATGGATTGATGATAACGGTTAATTTACGGATGAGTAAAATAAATAAAAACCTCAAGTATATTAGCCTGCAATAAGCCATGCGACTATTTGCTATTGAGGTAGTTCTTATTCAGAAAATGTCTCTTAAAATGATAAATTGTTTTCCGTTATGACGTTTCATAAAGCAGGGGTATGCCTAAGTACTGAATAATAAACATTACATTGTTTTAAAATAGTCATAAAATATATAAAATTTCTATATGGCTGTATATTTCAATAACGGCATAGTGACCATATTTGTGAAAATGTCATTTACGACAAATGCGTGCCGCGTTTGCAACTTAGCAATTAACGCTAAATGTCTTTGCTCTAAACTATGAGCACGGCAATGAAATTTTGTAAATAGTTTTTTTTTTATGTTATAAATGAAACAATATTCACATGTTAATTCATTACTTAATTTATTTAACTCGTTGTCTCTGGAGGCAACAAGATCAAATGTTGCTGCAATGCAGCAATTGAGAAGCCTTGCGCAAAAAAAAATCTGTAGGCAATAAATAACTTATCTTATTGATAGCTCAGTATTTAACCTGTTTTGACTGATATAACTTGTCATATGCAGATATTGGGTTGGAAACAAACTTGTTAAATACATGTTTTATTCCATATGTAACTAGCTTATCCTGGAAATATTTATCACGAAGCATATGTTATAACAATTAATCTTTCAGGCAATGTACGTATGGATTTGACACTAGCTATGTCAAACAGAAAAAAAAACAACACTTTGCTGAAGCCAATTTCAGGCATGTTTTGAATAAACTATAACACGCTGTATAAACAGTTCAGATTTTTCTTTTGCTTTGATTTATTGATCTTGATTGTTTCTAGTTTTCATATAGTTATGTCTAATGTCTTTATCGGTTGACTCATGTAAAACATTTGCTATGTTAAAGTTATGCAAGATTAAAGTTTATTACAAATGTAATGTCTTAACACAGAAAATGATAAATAGCATCGTATATTCAAGTATATTAAAATTACAATTACATTAAACGAATACAAGGACAAAGAAAGGTTAAAAATAGATTCATTTGAAAACAAGTATTTGCAAACACACACATACAGTACAGCAACATGAATACATACAAACATACAATAATTCATACAACTACAACTGCGTAGAAGGGAATTCCAAACATATTTCCCAGGCCTTCGTTAAAATGATTTTGATGATAACCTTTTATGTAGACAATATGACATCAAATCAATGTTCTACTATTGTCAAAATGTATAAAAAAGAGAGAAAAAATTCTCGCTAAGAAACAAATATTTGACTGTTATTTTTCATTGTCAAGTAAACATAGTTAACATTTTATTTTGAATCATTTAGATATTTACCTTAAGTTTAATATCCGTATATGCTGGCTTCTTATGATATACGTAAACAAAATATATTTCATGTACTTTTGTGTGAATATTTCTAATTCAAGTAATTGTGTGTTCTTTCCAACAAATTCTTGTTCAAACCAGAACATGATTGATGTTTGTATGTAAAGACCTTTAAATACAAGAATAAATATGTATTAGCACAGACAGTCAACAGATTACCTTGACATGTACATGTATTGTTTGTGATACCATACAAGCCACTAGCAATTGTTACAAAAATAGCAATATATCTATATTACTTTAATAATAATGATTCATCTGTCAAACGGAATATGCACTATAAACCGTAAGGAGAACACTGTATTTTGTCTACTAATAAAAAAGTATCAGAGATTTGAATATTTTAAACATCATGCTAGAAAAATGTTGTAATAACCGGATTTAAACTTTCAGTGAAATAGGATGGTTTCTGACAACATCAAGTTTATATAAATTACCTATTTTGCGGTTTCAGTGTCTTTATATATATATAGTAATTTTACTATTTATCCCAATTAAGTGCTGAGTTTAACTTGTATCAGATTACGATTACAATTTTGACACAAAGGTGGTACATGTATTGAGTAGGCGGTTGGGTAAAAGTAATTTGGACTAAATACAGCATGTACCTGATTCAATTCCTTATATACTTCTAAAATGATTGAGCCATTATTAACAAAGAAAAAGAGGTTCGAACATTTGATAATATTTGGTTTCAGTGTATTTACAATGTCTTATATTATACAAAGTAGTTGATTAAATTTCTTTTTTTGTTCAGCATACATATACACCATTGATTTCCTGAGTATTATTAAAATACTCTTCCATAAAATAATAATTTATTTATCAAAGAAAACTTCAAATTCACGAATTTTATTTTATAATTTATTTTATTGTGAAAAACATTATTCTAAAAATCATAATGCAATTTTGGAATGTCTATTTTGTAACACATATATACAAATTTTCTTTCTTAATTTTTCATAAGTACTAATTAAAAAGGAACGAAATTGTGTTCCTTTTTCGTGTTAACAATCTTTTTAATTTTGATAAAAAATAGACATTGGAAGTAATGTATTAAATAACCTTTAATAAACTGGAATTGTACATTTATTACATGAAATATTGGTAATCAGATTTCAATTATAGTGTGTTGTAAGCCAGAGGCTACAGGAAAAATGTTGAAGAATAATTTGTTTAATACCACCGTTTGTCGCTTATTATAACAGCCTATTAATCATTCATGGTTTCAAGATAAAGAGTTAGATGATTAATATTTAATGAAAATATGAATATCATACGGAAAATTATAACAAGCTAATGTTTTTTATATCCAAACCATTCGTTTAGCGTTTTATTTCATTCTTATAAAATATTAGTTATTTAAAAACCAAAGCGTACGGAAAAGCATACTATATGACCCCGTATTTGATTTCAGAATTTATTTAGTTTTTTGAAGTAAGTTTTTATTTTTCGCAATCATGAACTTTATTTAACCACGATTTATCCCTTGACGAAGCTAATATCTTAGAGCAATATTTTATCATTAAGCGCGCCTACACGGGATAAATTGCCTTTTTCCATTTTTTTAAACGGACCGATATATTCAGTTTAACTGCGCCAATAACGGCAATATCGCTTTTTAACTAATATTATTAAAACTTTTAGCACTCAATGCTGAAATAATTAAGTCTGGCTCCATATTCTGTAGTAAATATCCAGCGCTAATTTTAGTTTTGGGTTTAGTTACATCGAATTATGAGTGCTACATTCAATATTTGACGATTATTTAGGGGGAAACGATCAAGTTGGTTGCTTTTAATGTCTGTCTTTTAGGTTTAAACGACTTGAAATCGGTTAATTTTCGGAATGTCATAAAACTTGAAAATAAATCACGTGGTTGTGTTTTAGCATTTTCATTACCATTATTTCACTGTTCAACTTTACGTCTGTTAAAAATTCTAGTAATTAAAAGTTATTTGATATACATCCATTACCGAGTAAACCGTTCTTAATCTAATGCACATTATATTCCATGTAAGACCACTAAGTTTCTAACACCCACAGCAACAACAACAACGACAACCAAAACAAATATTAATGACGTTTACCTTTTGTATTCAGTTCATGAAATAAAAGGTAGTGAGAGAAAAAAGCTAATCAAATGAACCTTGAAACGTTATGTTTCAAATATTTTATTAGGGGCTTTAGAATATTTCGGATCTCTGTTTGTACTCAAGCACGGTACAAGAAAGTGTACGCTGATGTTCTACATATCGTTACAAGAAAGAAATTAATTTTTAACCAAGTCTCATTAAAACTGACTTTTAAAATCCAATAAACTTTGTTTGTATTAGTATGTTTCTCATTTCTGTTAAACCTACAAAATATCCACACCTTTCTACTTATGTAACATTTTATAGGATGCTAGCTGGGAAAAAAACATTTGAAACAATTATCTAAAATCGCCATTCAATTTAATTTATATTATCTCCTGCATAAAAGCTTCATCCCGAAGCAGAAATTTCACGACCATATTAATTGATACGGTTTGAAATTGTTAACACCACTCCGCTCAATGAATGGTTTAGTATGACTGGATTTAACTTGAGGGAATTATTGCATCTGTGGAAATACGAGGAGGCTGATAAAGCATGTTTCAGGAATATTAATCGTGAAATGAGCGGTGCCATTAGGTTTATTGCGTCCAATGAATGCATAAGAGTTGCTAAAGACTTAAGTATCCGGATGTCTTTGTGGAAAAAAACGAAAGCCGTTCAAATGTTCTTTAGCCTTTGATAAAGTTGTTTTGCTCTTATTTCAATTTATCGTTTTTAGTCTCAATTTGGATGTGAAAAAATACTCATAGGTTAGAAGATTGGCAGACTTTTTTAAGTGAATCAATATGAATGATCATAAATTGAAAATTTGTTACTTAAAGTCTAATGAATAAAGTTCCATGCAAACATACATGTTAGTTATGGAATTTTATGTGTAATTACATTTAACGCTTAGTTGTTTACGTTTTGATTATACATGGTTACTATAAATATCAAGTTTATTAAATTCTTTGACTTATTATGCACACGAATTTGCTATTTTTTAAACTTTTTATTTAATTCATATATTACAGGACCAGAAAATCAATCATCGAGATTAACAAGAAGTCTTCATGCCTTACAATCGCGACTGTGTCCCGAAGGATCAAGCTCGGAAAGGTGTTTCTATTCTCAACTTTCCATGTTTATTAGAATGCACGACAGTTTGATGGACCCTGTTGCTCTTCGAAATATCGGCAAACGAAATCTTCCGACTCGAAAGAATACCCTTGCTCATCTTCAGAACGACAAGAACACAGGATATAATCTTGATATTAAGCCACAATCTGATTTACAGACACGTTTACAGGACATCAGGAACATTGCTGGCATGATTGATATACTGAAGAATCTTCTTGACGACACAGGCGCAAATGAATCGCCAGAGGAAAAAGAAGACACATACGATCAATCAGTCTTATTTAACCCTGACGAGGCAACTGACGAGAAAAACAATGAACTAGAAAATGTAATTTTACCAGAAGTAACTCTGTCAGGTGATTATGGTTTGGATAAAACAAATGACAATAACTCTTTGGAAAATGTCATTGCAATGGTTCTTGGATTGAATAATAATAAGGGACGCAACAACAATGATTTAAAGTCAAACATTGGAATTTCAATTAAGTCACCTATCGAAAAACGGCAACTTATCTGTACATCTTCTTCGACACAAAGAGAATGTTTTGATAACGCATTCGCTTATTATGTTCGTTTGCTGAAAAGCCTACAATCGCATTAGCTTTCTGAAGCAAAGCATTGCTTCCCGTATATGTATTTTATTTTATATTCGAGTTTGTTTCCGTGACGTCTGCTGACTTTGATTCGGGTAAAAAACATGGTTCGAAAGTCAGTTGTGGTAGAAAAGGGAAGATCAGTTTGAATACTTTATGTCTGTTTTTTTTTCAAATTGTAAATAAGAAAGTTAGATACCATATGATATTCAATTTTATTTTTGTCAATATTAATTTTTTAAATTTGTTCAAGTCCGCCATGCCATTGAGCAAAGAAACTAGATGATTAATGGAAAGTTTTCTTGAGGATACAACCAATTAATAATACTTATCGCATATTACAAATCCACTTTATATTTGAAAACTATTAAAGATCAAATTTTGTCTCATTTATTAGAAATATCATTATGTATGTTCTAAAATATCGTTTAACGTGATTATGTTTTGTTTTCAGCATATAATCAATTTATTACTAAAAGCGAACTAATCAAATTATTGGCAAGATATCCAAGATCTTCCCCGCCATATTACCTGACTTAAAACCCATGCAAAATATTTCCCAGACTAATTGTTTATAATAATTTTATAGGAAAAGAAATAAATCTCGATTCTTTTATGCAATATGATAGCACGATGAAAAAGAACTCTATATATCATAATTGGTAAAATTGTTAAAAATTATAAGCAATATAAAATCTCTTCACGTTCTTAATCAGATCGAAAAATTACCCTACAGATGAACTGTGAAACTTTTATATGCTTTTAAATAAAAACAAATTATTCATTTTACAATTATTTGACATGCTTCTTTACGAGCAAAAATAATAAAATAGACAAGTGTACGTAATTAAGATTGTTCAAAACATTTAATTCAATAACAACATTTAAAAAATCATCAACTGTAATGCATATACAAAAAGACAACATATTCGAAATGATATAATAAGTAAACACATATACAAATGTTAATTAGTTGAACATTACGTCAACCTGTTAAATGATAAGGTTATGGTTGATATTAAAATGATTTACTCATTGTTGAATATTTTCTGTGTCATTATGTTTTTAAATGTAAAGAGCGTTTTAATTGTGTGTATAAAGCAGATATTTTTTTACATTTCTTAGGACTCGTAGTAAAATTTCTGCCACATATCTTTATCAATCATTGTAGACATATCATATTTTTGTATGTGCTTTCTTTAAGAATAAGAAAAAAGAATAAATAAGCAATGTAAAGCTGTAATTATACAATGTTCATTTTAATAAGGTATCAACACTTCAATCAGTTATGATATTGCGCAAAATACGATCAAAACATAAATAATGAAAAAAGTAGAATGTGTTTGTGTGATGTTATAAGCTAAATTTTTTATCATGTATGTACTGAAATACTAATAATTCTTTTTATGTTATATATCAAAGGTTGTCAATAAACGACACATATGTTTTGTTATATAAGAAAAACTAGTTGTAATACAGTTAGTTTATTTGTTTCTTAATCCATTTGGTTTACAAAATCACTATTATGGAGCTTACTGGTTGCCTAGTTAACATAAATTGCCCTATTATCTATGACATATTGGTTTCGTGACAGCAATGTAACAGTTATTGACACTCCTTTTCATGAATAACATGACGATAAAGAGTCTAGTTTTCCCGGATTATTTCATTATATTGATGACTGCTGAAGCGTATTCATTTTGCAATCGAAATCGTCATCAACATTCTATATATATAATAGTGCGCTATCACTTAAAATATCTTGCTAGTCTCCGCAGCGGACTCTTATTCCGCTAAGAACTTTATTTTTTACCAATATCAGTATGCGTCCTTGCCACAAACACCATAATAACTTGTCAATCAAGACAGGACAACGCCGATTGGATACGTAGTGAATAATAGAATAATAAAACAACTGAAAAACAATGTTTCATTTTTATTTTTTTATAAAAGGTTTACAGAAATATATTTTTTTCGCAAACAAGAGAGTGAAAAACACCTTGTGTATAATGTCTATCCGGTGCACTTTATAATAGTGTACATGTATTTCAAAATGATATATTCTCAGTTGAGTATCGATTGCTTAAAATACTATTTGATAATGATGAAGAAGACCTGCTACATTGTGGTTATTTGATTGACATGAATAATTAATTGGATGTTAAAGTGAACGGATGTAAATATGATACTACTTCCGAACAAGTCATATCCGTATCCGGAATCGTCAAATTCACACTGAAACTAACAGCAGGGTGTATTTCATGTTACAGAATTACAAAGTAAATAGAATTAACAAATATACTACATCACGACCGGATAAAGTTTGAAGTTAATTGAAGAAAATGCTGTAAAAATGATAATGAAAATAATGCAAAACATAATTAACATAAAATGACAACATAGTCGATAAGCATAATGACACAATAGTTTGTCGACAAAATGTGTTAACTGTGATTACTGCATATTATAGTAGAAGTAATCTTTATTTACACCATTGTACAGATATTATATACACAACGTGAAAAGTTTACAGAATAAATGTACAATTCCACTCCAACATGGAGTTAAAGAGATGAAAAATTTATATCACAATGTTAGAATATGTTTATACATAAATACATAAATCATTACAACAACAAGTTTATGTGTTCAAATTGAGAAACCATAGCCTTCCATAAACTAATAAGCACCGTGACTACCCGGAAGAAGTAATTAAAGGCAATAAGCAAATAATATTAAAACTGAGAAATCATATAAAATAAATAAAAATATATTAAATAAAATAACGATTTTTTTTTAGTTAAAAATCATTATAATAAGAATAGCTGTAGTTTTTCATACAGAATAGAAAGATATAAATATTAACTGGAATAAGAAGATTAGATAAATATTAAAAACCGGGGTCTTTGTAAAATATTAAAACAGGTTATGGCACAAATGCGAATCATATCTACGTTTGAAAGAAGAAAATAGTATTTGTCATCATTAGAAAGTGTCGAAAAGCTGTTACTTAAAGAACATGTTTTAGTGAACAAATACCGCCTTATTTCATTGTTAAGAAGATTTTTTCAAGATAACATGTCATTTATTTTCTATAATATCAATTACAAAAAGGACAGGTCATGGCTTGCTCTGGTAAACCTTTATACATCCCATTTTCCATCCCCATTGAAGCGACCCCAATACGAAATTTACAAACGGCAGATCTATGACTTGGTGGTAATATAAATTTACTATATTTTTCTTTTAAATTTACCATACACTCTCAAAGGGCCCAACAATACTGTTGATTTTGTTACACCAAATATCTATACAATTATGTGTTGCTTTGTATTCATCATTCTGGGCGAAAGAACGAAGAACGAGGTATAAGACTGATAAAACTGGTGTACATATGTAAATCATTGACATCATAATAATGTTTGACCTAACTAAACCAATTTCTACAAGAGCGACTAGCTTTATTATTAGTAACATTTTTCTTCGTTATATGGACGAGGCCTTAGCCTCTTGATTTTTGGAAAGAATTATCTCTATAAATGGAATAGTAAAAAAGCTGGTGTAAGTTCAGATAGATAGGAAAACTGCACGTTTTTAAAGCAAAATATTTCAGTAAGGAAGAGGCCTTCTATATTCCACTGTTATATACATTGGAATATAAACAAATATCATGTCTCTTAGCTTCATAGAATGTATTCTATGACAAATTGAAAAACGTGATATAAAATAATGATATAGTTGCACATTTCCTTATTCATGATTCATGATAGACTTATTATTATTCCAATCTGACCTTTTTGTTAACTGATAATGTGATATAATTGAGTATCGATCAAAATCACTGAATACAACTTATATTATCTTGACCCTGAAAAAATATACAAACAAGCAGATATGCTGGTTAACACACTATAAAAATGTTTTGCAATGTATCAAAGCTGATCGCTTTACTGTTATCTAAACTAGTACACCTTTACCAACAACATATATTTAGTACTTTACGTAGGAGGAACTGCATTTAATGAATTAACATAAAAGGATAACCGTTTTTATAACCTTATTCCAATTTTAACAATTTTAACATCTGATCATACAGAATTAATTGATATAAGTTTTTCCTAATTTCCGAGCAAAACCTATCGGTAATTGCTTTTGCATAACCTTACAAATCCTGGTGGCGTATAGATGTCAGTTTTGCTATCGGTTATGCAGGTGCGACATCATTTATCACTATAGAGTACTATTAATAATAGTTTACGGAAAATTATTATCTAAATTCTATTGACTTACATTTTATGGATAAACGTTATCAAGAAATCGAGCAACAACATGGAATAAGAAAACAGTAACTACATGTTTAACTCCAGCATAAAAATATCGCTTACTAGCCCATTGCAAATAATATTATGTCCGATATACCACTTGTTTAAAAAGTGCCACTACACAATATTTGAATAGCCCTACGTACGTAAGTCCTCGTACATCCGGTTGTTGATAACATTAAACAGTAAAATTTTGTCAAACTGAACTTAATTCAGTGATGCTAGATTTGAAATTACAACTTGAAACATGTGTCAACAATGTGCATTTTTTTCACTTACATTTTTATGTGATTGTGAGAGTAAACCCGATCCGATTTGTTCGCTCATGTCGAAAACCGAATGTTGATGATAATAATAAATTAACATTAAAAAGGCTCAAATATAACGATTATGATTGAAAGATTATATTAAATTTTATTGACCTCATTACAATCATTAAAGCGGAGCGGTTGCCTATTGATTAAGGTGTTTGCTTCTCAACCCAGGGATCATGGGTTCGAGCCCTCATCGAGTCACGACCGTGTTCCTTCATATCACACCAGTACTTGTTGGTTCCAGGAGGCGGACTCGAGAGTGATTTATATAAGTTGCAAGAACTTGTTTCGTAATCGAAACAGAGATGAAAATGGTAAAATGATGTTAGAAAGAACTTGATAAATTTGTACAAAATAAGCTATCTTGTTTGACTGCATTGTATGATAAAAACGAAACTAAATGTTTAGAATTAAACAAGGAGCAGTGTTACACTATTGTCATCACATTCTATCTGAATGTAAAGGCAAATACTTTACAGGGCATTGCAGACACATTTATTTTTAGAGAAGTTGTTCCCTGTGGAGTAATGATACCATTCAGGATTTATTACAATGTTTTATTTTCCCACCCCAATTAGTTTATTATGACTCAACTGTTACTTTCTTATTAATAAATGATGCTATTTGTTGATTTGTATCTATATAGCCGACGAATCGATACTGCGTAAATATCTTTATGCTGAACGATTGAATATAGCCTATGTTTAGCTTAAATTGTCATACCTTTCAGATATAACAAATGACCATTGTCAGACTCATCTGTATGCTCAAAAAAGGTGTTTTTAAAAACTCTTTTACTTCTGATACCACAAACTTATATAATGATAATCGCCGTACAGACATAACTGCGGACGTTTCAAAGTTAACCGCTATCATTTATAAATGTTGAATTCTGCTTTAGTTTGTACAAGAAGGTGTGGATGATAGCGTTGCACTTACCACAACATCCCCTGAACAGGCTCCATAAGACCGTGTCTTCAATTATGCCATTTTTGGGCGTAAACTCTCCCTTGCGTCCTGTTTTTTTTTAAGATCATCCATGGCTCCTTGCCACTGGTTCCTGTTACAGGGTCGTGTGGGGGTTTCGTGCATTGAATGCCGCCTTTCCTTGATGATCTTGTTTATCATATTTTACTAACTGTATTTTTGTTTTACAAGGACACAAAACAATAAAGAAATATTAGTATTTTAAATCAAATATCTTAAAGGATGACAGTTATTAATATTATTTTAGTCCACAGGAATATCATACTGAAAGCAATGTGGTATTATAATGTTTCACTATTCGTGATTTATCTGTTAATATTATATCTGATTGTCACGAAATTCTAAAAAGGAAAATGTTTATTGAACTAGGAACATACAAGTAACCGTAACCGTTTTAAGTTTTGAAAGTTACGCAGATGTGATTGTGACGCTTATCATGGATCATAGTTCATATATCTTAATTGCAGAACAAGAGATATAAGTTGTTTGGGCATGTGATTGAGACAGTTAAGAAGAGGAATAAAGTACAGTTTGTTTGTTTCATTTTACGCATTTTTCCAACAGTATTTCAGTCATATATGCGGGTAGTTTCCTAACCATCGTTCCTGGAGAGTTACACCAGTACTAGACTACCTTCCTCCGCGCTAAACTACCAAAGCATATCCCGGGGATCGAACCCACGCTAGAGAGGTAGTCATCGACTCTAACCCCTCGACCACGGAGGCGTAATGAGGTACAGAAGGAAGGAGTTAATACCTTAGTTACCGGGAAGCAAGCAAGAAGGAATGGAGTTAGTGATTGAGTGAGTGAAAAATTTGTAAATAAGAGAATAGATAAGGAAGTG